CCTTGTAAGTACTTTGGTGAGCTCAATTATTTCCACAACTTATAAGGAAAAAAATTCAAAGAGGCAGCTACATGCATTTCATGTTCGGATTTGTGAACACCTGCGTATAAATTGCAACTCAGTAAGGTATGCACTTAGTTTCAGTACTTAACATTAAAAACAACATAAACTATCACAGAACTACCCGCGCGGCAACTGTAACAATAGCAAGAATCATGGCTACAAAACAACAAGGAAAGATGCCCTGCATGCTGACTAAATAAAAATAACCTGAAAACAAATAAAGTGCATACATAAAAATAAGAATCAACATAAGAACTCTAGGACACATGCATATGTACATATACAGAGAAAGAAAAATGCCGAAAATGTGAAAGAAAAATGCCAACAAAAATTAGATGAACTAAGCCAAGAAGCAGCGCAACTAAATACATATGTATATGTGTATGTTAGGTATAACTATTTAGATTGAAACAATAGCTGTAAATACGTTGATGTGTCTGTATTCGTAGTGTAGCAACAACGGGACCTTCTATAAAACATTGACAACAGAAAGAATGATGCACAGCAACATAAATACAAGTACTATCCACCAAATGGCAACGGCATCATCAACGACACTTGCCTTAGTTCTGTGAATTTGCCACCAGCAGCCTGATGGCTGATGGCCTGCCTGCCTGCTCGTCTGCCCGAATGGTAGCACATCTGCTTGCCACCGCGACTAACATGCTGAGGGTTAATATCTTGTGTCATGCAAGGATAATACGAATAACTACTACAATAACAGCGACTCAGTAAATTTTTATGTACATACACAGCTGCATTTTTCTACCTAAATACAGCACTAAGTGCAGACAAACTATGATGCTGCTAGCGAAAAATAATAATACTCATCACTTCTGGAAAAAGTACCTACACTTAAAAAATGTGTGTGTTTGCAAGTAAATACACATCTATACATATAGTAGTATGAGTGCATGACAGGACTGAAAGGAGCTGGCGAGTGATGACAAGTACACTGTGAGAAATTAAATTTGATTGAATTTCGATTTTATAAATTTAAGGAGCAAAATTAGTGTATGATCAATAAAAATAACCGTGAATAAGCACTAGATGACTTTGTAACTCAGATGAAAATGAGACTGGAAGCAAGTAAACACTAGAAATTTTCATTGATATTAAGTGCTACCTTCTACTACTAAAGATAAAGGCAAATGCACGCACAAAGTTTATTTAGACTGTCCTTAAATAGTGTGTTTATGCTATAAATCTCTTCCGGAAGCAGATACAGCGTCAATTTGTATATAAGAGAACTATGGAGACCTACGCAATCATTTCACAAAAGGCCCCAAGACTGAAAAAGGAGCTAGTGACAGCTGGGATCTGGAGAAAACTTCTGGAGAAAAGCTTGAGTTTTTCTTAGGCCCCGGATGTTATGAAGACTTGTTTTCAGACGGAAGTTTTTGCAATACTTAAGCTGATCGGTGCATCTGTAGCTCTCGTAACGGGACTAGCGCCAATTAACGGCAGGTGGTTTTACAGAAAGCGTTAAACGAACCTGAAACAACTAGATAATGTGTTTGGAACAGTGCGGCTGCTAAATTCTTTATGAAGTTGAAAAGACAGGAGCTGTCATCGCTGTTTGATTGATCAATCCATGGAACTAACATATATAGACAGATGTTCAGTAAAGGAATGCACTACGACCATGAGATCTATTGTGCCCTCTTGCTCCTTACAGCACCTCGGTCACACCCAGCTTCTTTAGGACATCCACTAGATTGTTTGGTGATATCGAGTGCATGTGATGTTATATGCGTTTAGTGACTCGATCTCCCCATTAGTTTATTTGATTAGCGCTGCCCAGTGCTTTGTTTTCAAGGCAATTCTCTATTTATTCTTTCTTCTCTCCTAGGCTCTTCCCAGATATGTATATAGGACTACTATTGCATAGAAGGACTCGGGGGCCTATTGGTGTTGTAGCTGCAAGCCTGTTTGCCCCTTCATTCCCCTCTATGTCTTTGTGGCCCGGGACCCAGAGAAACAAGACGCTTTTGTTTGCTACTAAGGCATTAAGTCTATTACGCACTCAATAACCAGTGCACACTTGTTTTAGTTCCAGCTTACTTTATTTCCTAATTCTATTTTGAAGTTCCTTTCGAAGCTAATGATTCTGCTGATATCGACTCTTGGGAAACGGATTATGGGTATCTATTCCCGAAGAGATTCCATGCTACGAGTTGATACTACTTTCTCACTACCCCGCCTTTCTTTGGTGAAGTTGATTAGGTATCGTTTAGGGAATTAACGTACTTATGGCGTTACCTTTCTGTCCAGCGCCTAAGGAAGTAAAAAACCTAAGCAGATCCTATGTAAGATCTCATTTTATTTCAAATGAATTTAATTTTTTTTTTGCATTTTTTGTGCAAAAAACGGGATAATCGTATGAAAGCAATTTGATTAATTATTTTTTAGAATCTCAGTTAGTCTAGACTTAATTTACTTATCTTTACGTAGTACTTTTGCCAACCTTATATGAGAAACTCTGTTGGCAGTTGGTTCAAACTTAACTTACCGTAAGAAATTTAAGAACCTATAGATTTTAGATTCTTAAGTTTCGCTTTTGGCTTAAGTTGGCGTGTCAAGTAAGCATTGATGATTTCCTACGATAAGTTCAGTTAAGTTTAGACTAACGCAGCTTTAACCCAGAAATAAATTTGCTGCATGTTTGTAATAAAACTGAATGTAGAAGTAATAATAATAATAATGCCTCAAAAACGCATAATACAGTCACTACAATAAAAAAATAAGACGGAGAACGCAAACAAAAAAAGGATTTTCGAACTTTAAAATTAAAAAAAAAATCTTTTTCAAACTTTTAAATTTTCTTTAAAAAAAATATTTCCTTCATGCGTCTACAAAATCATGACCACTGTATTTATGCGCAGGAAACCTTTTTCGCGTTGGTGGTCTTTGGTGGCGCTTCAAAAATAAATTTTCATTAGTCCTACTCCAGCTACGCTGCAGGCATTATTTTTTGCGCAGAACTCCTTTAAAAACAGTTTACAGTTTTTTCTCTCCATTTTACAACGACCTCTACTAAGCTTAGCGTTATTTATTATGAAAATTCCTAATAATTTTTAAACACTATCAGTGGGGGAGGTGCATAACAGAAAATAACCATGTACATATTTTATATGGGACACCCCTTCATTTCGTTATACGTATAAAATAAAGACATCAACCCTTAAAAAATCTTATAATTTTAAACATCAAAAATTTAAAAAAAACATAATCACGAAAATTCTACAACATTTTTACTTGACATATGATTAAAACTATTTCATATATGTACATAAATTCATAAACTCGTCGAGTTATAGCTGGTCAAAGTAAATTTTTTTCGAATTCTTGCGATTTGAGAAAAACATTTTTTTTTAACTCTGGTACAAATCCCTAATTTATTAATATTGAAATTTTCGGCGGCGTATCTATTTCATGAGCAATTAGTACGTACTTGAAAACAAGAAATACACATAAAACAGCTGTTATAAAACAAAATTAATTTAATTTAAAAACGCACAAATGTTATCGAAAATGTTTTAAAAATAAAAACATTCGTTTGTGCGCAAATATTATTTCCAAACTCTAATTTATTTACCATGTACCGCAACAATAACATAGATTTGGCAACATCTGAAATTCAAAGGACCAAAGTAGACGCACTAGGCTGCACAGCAAAAATGTGGCAAATCACAAATTGCAACACTTGGCACTGTGAGAAACAGGGATGGCTGGTATATGCCACTCATTTGAACGTACAGATTTTGACAGTTGCAATTTGACAGTTTTCCACTGATACATATGTATTTGTAGCGATGTGCGGGGCATGCGCATTTAATTACTTTATACAAACGAAAAAAACTATGATTTGCAGTGAATGCAAATATTTGCAAAGCAAAAGATGTTTTTCAAATGCAAATTTATAAATGAAAAATGAACGCAGAGTAAAAAAATTTTCGCACAAATTGTAGGATATTCCCCTAATTTTAATATGGAGGCATTTTTGAAGCGCAGGATTGGATTTTAAGCTGTTTTTAAGCCCACAAAAGTTACCGCACCCATAAAAATTCAATGACAAACGAGCATTTTTCTCTACAAACACTCTGCTCGAAAGCACACAAGTACACACCCTTTTGTGTGTACGCATGTTTGTACGCGTGTGTTTTGGCTAAAAGCATGTCAAAGGGGTGGGAGGGATGGAGTACCTTCAGGAACACAAGGGTGCTCTGTTGTGGAAACTCACTGACTGCTGGCAGCCGCATGGAAAATTGGCGAGAAAAAAAGTGAAGCGAAAAATCGATAGCTGTGACGGAACTCCATTACTGCTGCATGCAAAAGTGCTTGGATAATTTGCATTTTCACTTCAAACTTACACTAATCAAAAGCAAACTTAAATGGTTAGGATTAGATTTGGGAAGTAGATGGAAACTTGGCAAAAATGGCGATGCATCGAGTGACTGACTGCTAGACTAGCTGCCCACCCCCGCAGAAAAAGAAAAAAATATGCTGACATGTATATTTTAACTAAATACTTTCTACACTTAAACCCACCTTTTTGTGTATACAGCATTTACAAGATTCTTCATTGAAAATTAGCCAACTATCGGCCAGTCAAATAATCGGCCATTACAGCGGGCGCTGTGTGCAGTCGCAAAGAGGCCACTAATCCACGGGGGTGGCTCTTTACACACCACACACACACGCTATATACTCGCCACTCGGCGCTGCTGCATTAGGAACTTTACCAAATTTTCTAATTCACTTTGTGCTAAAAGCACGCAAATCTTCTCTTAGAATCTCTGCACATTCACTTCACTAAATTCACCATATTTTCACTTATATCAATGCACTCGCATATTTTCCACACAAAAATCAGCGAATTGAATTAATTAACTATTTTGCTTGAATTAAATTTATGCGAACATAAAAACACTAACCAATTCTTATTTAGATAAGTGCGTGTATGTATGTATGTGTGTCGCGCACACGCACACAATTCACCAAACGAACGAACGCGTAGCACCGGAACCGGTTTCGCTTGATTGCTATATTTGTATTCGTCGCTTCGGTGTCGTTGTTCTCTTATTTTTTGTTGTTTTTATTGTAGTAGATACACCGTCTGGGGGTTGTTGGTGTGGTTGTGTGATTGATTCACACACACGCACACAATCTGACAAACACTCACAGATTCCCTAAACGTATGTTAAACGTGAACGACGCGCGGCCCTCTACTTCCGACAAAATCCAAACTCCAACTGAACCGAGCAACTTGTGCGATGCTAGCTGGACCCTGCTGTTGTTTGTAATGAAAGCGTAGTATTTTTGTTGCTTTTGTGCCAACACGCCAACACTTATTGGGGAAATTCGTTGCAGCATGCAACCGATTTGAGTTGATTTCATGCATTTTTGATTGTTCGTAGGCGATAGGTATGGCAAATTGCAAAGTCGAATTGTTTTAAAAATAACCTCGAATTGCCATACGTTATTGGTGCTCTAAGCATTTCGCGCTGTAAGCCTATAATTAAAAATATGCACGGCAAAATGAGAACCTCCTCCTATTTTGAAGTCGGTAAAAAACAGATTTTTATTAAAGTAAAGATGAGGAAAAAATTATTTTTTACCATTAAATTTCCTCAACATTTTTTTCCTACATTTTTACCCACCAAAAATTTTCTTCCGTTTTGATATTTTTTTCTGCTTTTGGTAAAAATATTTTTTTTACATTTGATGCTTTCTGAAGTACTCTGGGAAATGGGTAAATGTATTTTTTCCGAATTTTTTTTTCTTCAACTATCTTTTTTATAACAGACTTTTTTCTAATTTGTGGTAAATTTTTTCTAGTTTGGGTAAAAATATTTAGGTCTAAAATTTTGTGATAAAAATAGCTAAATAAAAATGTAGTATAAAAAGAGAAAAACTTTAAAGTAAGTTAAATCCCTTAAATTTTCTGTTACAATTTATTTTTTATTTTTACAGGAAAAAAGCTACGAATCAGCTGTTGATAACCACTAACTAACAAAAGAAAGCTGAAAATTACGTTCACAGTTGATAAAATTACCAAATACCAACTAGCAGGTGTGAATAGCCTTAATGTTTATTGGGTATGTATCTCTGGTGCAGAGCAAGTGATATATCAAAGGCGTATATTCAATACGACCCATCTGCCAGCACTGGCTACAACTTTACTTTTGAAATTCAATAGTTAGTTCTTCTGACATGCTATATATAAGGTATTTGAACTTTCGACATCTAGTTATTCATTAGTGTTGCGGTTACACAATTTGTATATGTCATATGTTAGCTTTCTTGAATAATTTTTTTTTTTTATTAATTAGTCAACATCAATGCGCTCTTGTAATTTTCTAAGAAATTGTAGTTTTCAATGTCATTAAACACAAAACTTTAGAGAATTCTTATGTTCTAACATGTTCCAGGCAAGTATTACCTATTTCCAATATTTTACATACATATTTTTTTATTTTGTCTCCTAACGCGATAAGTGACAAGAACCAGCTTTATGACTTATAAGGCTATGGTCCCCTTAACCAATGGAAAAAATTGTGCAATTTTACACTACATTTTTTCCTGAAAAAAAAAACGATCCCTTGTAAAACTGCAACGGCTACCACAAAAATGTCTCATCATTCTTCACCCTCAAACAAGCTTACGAAACAAGTCGCAAAGAGAGGGGAAATAGGTTCGATACAACACGAGTTTGCGCAAAGCAGTCTCTTTGTTTTGGGAAATTATTTGCCGGCTTTTGAAGTGTTTGTTATTATTGCGTTAATTTTTGCCGTTTTTGTTTTGATTACTCCATATTTGTATGTTGCCAGAAGAGAATATAATAAATCAAACACATAAATATAGGTAGCTACATAAATGACTCATGCGTGCACGTGTAACCAGCTAGCGGTAGTGGAGTTGCACGTCTGCCCATTTAGCTGTGCGTTGATTTGTGTGTGCGTGCGAATATGATCTAGGTTTGTAGGGGTGGTAAATTGCGCGTTTTATGGCATATTAAATGCACTTAATGAGTCAGGACGCAGTTTTTTTGTATTGCATTTACTTTACTTCACTTGGCGTTTGAAACCGTGTTTGAGGTCTTAAGCGAAGGAGTTGGATGCCTTTTACATATAGGCAAACCAAAGACTGTTATAGCGAACTGGAAAAATGTTTTTTTGTTAAAACCGGGACATATATACAGTGCCGGCTACTTGAATAGCGCACCCTTTTTGACTCTCAGTATTGACAGTTTTCCTTTCGAGGATTTAATATCCATTAGTTAAAAAAAAAAATTAGCATATTCTGTAACAAAAACCACGTAAATGCGACTTTAAAACTTAATACAAAAATAAAAATAACTAACCTCATTTTTTTTTTTAATTTCAACCTTTTTAAAAAAATTTCTAGAAATTAAGGTGCAAGTTTCTTAACACTAGGAAGACGAAAATTTGAACTTACCTTAACGTAAACAAAGTCGGATTATTAATTCTTGAAACGTTAGCCATGCTAATGCAATAATTCTGGTAATATGTTGTATCAAAAATGTGATTGCGCTAATTGGACCACTTTGGTCTTTCTAGAGTTAAAACTCGCGTTGATTTTGGATTTTTTTTTTATGTGGAACGTGTTAAGGCCCCGCCAGATAGAAAATCTTTTCTGCGTCACAGAGATGCTTTTGACGAACAAAACGCACAGAACATGGCGGGACGGTACAATAAAAACGTTGCCGCAAACAAAACATTTGATTGGTGAAAAATTAGCCTGTTTAAAATCCTTCCATGCATCTTTGTTGTTGTTTTGCCGCATATGCGTACATCAAAAAATGAGAGCTTTTTCAGTTACGGCAATGCGTCAAAAGCTTCCCTGTGATCATCGGCGTAGCCAGAATGAAATTTAGGGGGGGGGGGGGCTCGACCCTACTAAGCTGGCATTTCAGGGTACTATTTTATATATATATACGGAAAATTTGAAAGTTAGGGGGGGCTCGAGCACCCCCCTGCCCCTACCTGGCTACGCCCATGCCTGTGATGCAGAAAAGAATTTCTATCTGATGGACCTTTACTCATTTTCTTCCATAAAAGTATATAGTATGTATGTTCGCCTATTTATATATCGATGAAAATGCACAGCACGGACTCCAAACTGGACCGCGCTAAGTTACCAATTTTCTTCCGTTCGTCTTTTAAGCGTTACTTATGTATCAATAGGCATCCGTTTATATTCAAGACTATCTTAATGCTTAATGGCGGCTAGACGGCAACTTATACTAGTAGATATATGCCACTAATGCGAGTACTAAGCACATAATAGAGTCAAAAGGGGTAGCAGGAAGTTTAACTTTAGTACTAATCCAATGCTTTTTTTTTTGGATAGCACATTGCCGTTAGACGACTTCAGCCGTTAGACGACTGACAGCGATTTACGAATCTTAAGCTGGTTTGATGTGACACAAGTTTATACTTCAATAGTTGAATATTTCTGCGAGTGTTGAATATGAAAACTTCTTGGGTCGTGAAGCAGTTATTTATGCCTATATGTAGCTATCGTGGCATTGAAAACTTCAGACATGGGGCGTTCTTTAACCAAATTCTGAGAAAGGGTGTTTTTATATAAAATTCTGAAATAGGGCGTTTTTCAAATTCTGAAGTAGGGCATTATTGAAAAGTTTTCTGAGAGATAGGGCGTTTTCGAACTGGCTGCCGAGATAGGTCGATATTCCACTTAGCCATCGATATGAAGATGCTAAAGGAGCTGTTCAGTAACGAGTGCCGTGGCCTGAAAACTCTACGCTGTTTTTTTTTTTTGGATTTGAAAATTCGCAATCATCGCTGCACGAAGTACTCGTCCATAGCTTATTAAAAAATGCATGCCCGGTTGGACCAATCAATTTTAAATGTATCAGCCCGTGAAAGTCTAAAATTACACAATTTTTTTCGAAAAATTTGCCATTAAAAATTTTTACAGTTTTAAACTCTCAGCCTTTATTCCAGATAAATTAAGATAAACTTTATAAAAATGCTTTAGGTTTTCTTTCTTGCTTCACGAGGTTCAGCAGTTCGGAAAAGAGTGAAGTTGGTTGCCTTTCGCCAATACCAACTTCACACTTTTCTACAGTACAGGGTTGCTTTATTTGGTACTGTTTACAACTCGGCCCACCTGACTATGACCGACCTCGGTCATCAAACTTTATATTACATTTATGTTTAGACTGCCTTAGGTACTAATATTTACATGCTGTACGTTACAGTGTTCAATGTATAATTATTATACTGTACAATTCATCTTAACTTCTAAAGCTTAACTGCTACGTACTATGTTACGGTGTAAGTTTATAGCCTATTATTATCCGTTCGACTCATCAGCAGAAGCGACCTTTTCAACGTTTTTATCGACCCAATTTCGCATTCTATTCGCTTCAATAACGCCATTATACGGCAGCTGAGTTAGCTGGCAATTGTCCACGTCTCTTATGACATACCTGTCATTTCCTAAAACCTTAAACACTACATAGGGTCCTTTGTATTTAGGGACGAATTTCTTGTTTGTTCCCACTACTGTATCTACATTTCGTATAACAACAAAGTCACCTACTTTATACTCCTTCGCCTTCACACTATTCTTCAGGAAATGACTTAAATTGTATTCTTGCTTCTTTTCAATACCTTCGGACGCGCTCGATCTAATTTGCTCTAAATCTCTTGGAACGTTTTGATTTACTTTATCCTCTATGTACTCCGTAAACTCATCTATTATCTCGCCTCTCTGCTCGACCCCAAATAAGAGTTTGCTTGGGGAACTTCCCGTAGTACTGTGAATTGAATTGTTGATGGCATATTCCACTTGAAGAAGTTTACTTGACCAATCCGCATGATTGATTGGTTCGGTAAGCTTTCCCAACATTGTTTTTAAGACCCTATTTACACGTTCTACCTGTCCATTAGCTTGTGGGGAAGCAACTGCCGTTTTTACATGAATTATATTTCTTTTTATCAAAAAGTTCTCGAATTCTAGTGACGTAAAACAAGTCCCTCTATCGCTTATAATTCTCCTCGGCCTACTATAATAGCTAAAGTATTTATCTAATGCTGCATTAACCTCCCGAGTGCTTGTAGAATTAGTGGGATAAAGTTTTACGAACTTCGTGAAAGAATCGATTACGACCAATATATGTTTACGCTTAGACTGTATTGTCGGCAGCGGACCAAAATGGTCAATATGAATTGTATCAAACGGCACTG